TGTTCGCCAAGTATTTTGGTATGATGGGAAAAAAATAGAAAAAACAGAGAAGAAAAACCATGATTAAATTTTCATGAAAAATGTTCAACTTCGAGTTCTTCTTTAATTTCCAACAGAATTTGAAAAATTCCCTGTGCAAAGCATTTACCATGAAATGTCAGGCAGATCTGGAAATCATTTGTAAAATGATGCTCATTTGAGTTGATTATTAATATTTTTAATTGAACTTGTGCTTCTTTATGCATTTTTAAGATCATATGACTGGTGTGAGACATTTCGTAAAGTTCCTAATCAGCATTATGAATCCAAACAACTAACAACCATATTTTCAGCTCTCATTATCAAAGATTTGTGCAACATTTGAGACTTTCTAACAATGTGCATGTACTTTCCATTTGACAAACTTCTGTATCATTAATTGTACATGAAAAAGAACTTTTAATTAATAGCAATTAAGTGACAAAACCTTGTATCATCTGTCTACTTATAGCTGAAGTTACATTTATGTATACATGTACATAATCACATTCAATGAATTTAGAGGAGAAAGAAAAGAGGAGCAAAAATAAAGAAAGAAAGAAGTAAAGGAAGAAAAACCATTCCATTATGTATAGTTCGGGAACAGAAAAATCCTAGAATAAAATTACCGAAAGGATGAAAACAAGGCTAGTTTTGAGAGTATTGCGCATTTGTGGATTTGTTTCTTGTCAAAAAGATAATTTGGTTTCAGCGATTAATTTAGTTGATTGTAACTTGGTTCTCTTAAATTTTTTCAATTAAAATGGCAATTTTTCGAACCACAATGCTTGATATCTTAAAATAATTTTTTTAAATGTTTAATCCTAATCTCATCAAAAGAGCTTCACGTAAACTCCTCAAATAAGATCAGCCTAAGCTTTTTAAATGACGCAGTATAACTCCCATGAATGGCTCAAAATGAGCTCTTTTAAGAGAATCAACATAAGCTACTTATGAGATTTCAGACAAGATGTAATGAATTTTCAACAAAAAATCCTGCTAACCAAAAAAAAAAAGACTTTTTCTGTGTATCTTCAAATGAAGCGCTGGAGAATACAACAAAAATGAATAATAGAAGAGCTTTTATTTTCTGGTAATGCTGTAGTTTCCTCTCCACTTCTTCCATCTAGTCTACTTTTTGTTTTCATTCATTCGTGTGCTTCTTCCTATTCTCATTTTGCCACACATGTACGTAATATATTCAGCATCAAAATGAATGTGCCATAGTGATGCCATAATTTGTAACTAGTTGTAGTTAAATTAATGATATTTTGTTATACATTTTCATTCCTCCCTCATGATACATGAAGGAGAAGAAAAAAAGCTAGAGAAGCATGAGGATCCGAGTTGAAGTGGAATTGCAAGTATCAAGAACTAAGTGTGTTTACTTTGTAAAATGAAATGACCAAAGGGGTACTTGTTGCTCTAATAGATTTCAATCTTTATAGTTTCTGTTATAAAATTTTCACTTCATTTGCTGCACAGTAATTGAGACTATTAAGAAATTAATTAAAAGTTGAGATTTTTCTATTCCGTGCGAGAATTTTAGCAGATTTTGATGATAGTTTTATTATTTGTCCATACTTTTTGTGTATATTTTGAATCTAGCTGGAAATCTTCACTTAAATAAAATATAGCTTCCTGTAAAATCGCACTAAAAATATCAAATCATCAACAAACGAACACACACAACCTTATATAAGCAGTCATACAAAAGAGCAATACAAGAAATAAGGAGGATTTAGTTCTTGACATTTTCTTTTCATGAATTCAATTTTCCTCTTCTTATTTCAGCTCATCTCATAACAATAAACACCTGATACCAACCATATCATTTATATGTTTATCCATTAGATAATATCATACAATATAAATGTCTTGAATAGTGTGGAACTATATGGGTTAGGTTACAAAAGATTACGCTTTTTGAAAAATGAAATTGTTGAATAGGAAAAACTCATGAAACTGACTTGAAATGGAATTGGATTGTGACTTTTGTTGTTAATTTTAAAAAATTATTGTACTGTTGAAATAGGGCGAAGAGGGAATTTCTAAAAATATTGGTTGAATAGTGACTATAGTCATTCAGATTGGCTCATCAATTGCTATTAAATGATTATATGTTTTATCTTTAACAAATAACAAAACATCAAACCTATTCCATCCATCAATCGAACTTTACAACCCCTGTGAAGTCCTCAAACATTACTCTTTACCTTTTCATAGGTTATTCATAAAACCTCTTCTGTAGACATTACCTCAAAATGACAAACATGCATGTTCCTTCGATCAATCAAACCCACACTAAACAGCTCATGAAATCTCATCAAATTTGTTCAACTTTTTCATTTTTTATTTGAAAATTTTCCAAGCAATAAAAGCATCGTATAGTAAGGAGAAAGGATATGAATTTTGTAGTCTATAAATATTTTTACTGATCACACTAAAGTCTCTATTACTTATATTTCTCTTGAAATATTTTCACGTACTTTCTACCGTTCATTCATGTATGCAAACTCATAAATGAATGGATGTCATGCAGAAAAATAAATATAAATTCATGTGAATCTTTTAAACTTACTAGCAGTCACAGCAGAGAATTGTGATGAATATTGTGCCACTCATAAAATTACCTGAATGAGTATTTTTTTATAGTTTTCCTCCACACTACTTCTTATTCCTATTGCGATTCTCATCGATGCATGAAAGAAATTTCTTTTATTTTCGTTTCTCTCGTCTTTTATCATTTTTTACTGCTTTATGTCGTCTAATAAAAAAGGAAATGTTGTCAGCATAGAAGCATATATGCATGCAAAGGCACTTCTGTTTCAAGTAAAATGTTAAAGGAACATGAAGCATTCACCTACCCACAATGCAATGCCGTTCACTGCAATGCAAATTATTTCCTTGTATTGCTGCAAATTTTAGAAGTGGTGCTTGGCGGGATGCTTCAGATAGTCATGATATGAGACATAATTTGAATTTTAACGACTTCATTTTTAAGGCTCAAAAAAAATTAATTTGGTACTTTTTTTCAAAATTCTAATTTTTTAAAATTTTATTTCTGCACAGGAAAACCACTTTGTTCAGGTATGTTGCCTTCAAAATTTCTCAAACCATTCTAACAAAGAAAATGCTCCGTTTACTAACAAAACCGTAAGAATCCAAAACTTTCATTTACTTTATTTTGGTTCAAAAAATACTTTCAATGTGATGTATCTTTCTGTATTGCACAAAAATGCTGTTCATATGTTGAAAACAGAGCGGAAAAGAAATAAGAAAAAAAAAGTACGTAATTAATTAAAGTGGATGATGAAGAGCTTTTGCAATGCTGCATAATGACTGTGGTACATATTTACTAATTTACCTCATTCTCTCTCTTTTTTAAACATTCATATTCCGTTCCTTTGTGCTTTTGTGTGATTTCTTCTTTTAGTAAAATAAAAAAAAATCCTTTTTTGCGTCATTTTTCATTTCACATAAGCATTTATGAGTTAAAGGAAAGAGGTAAAAAATATTTACAAATTGTTGCTACGCGATCTGTACGCATCGGTAAGTTCAAATGGATGATATGTGAACAAACAAATACGAATGTCAAAAAATATGATGTTGAAGATGATTTACGTAGTTTACGAATGATGAATGTTGTCATAGTGAGGAACAATAATCATTACAAATATTCGTAAATTACAGAAGAAAAATGGAAAAAACAAAAGAAAATAATATTTTTGCTACTATTTTGTGTCTCAGTTGTGATTATGTTGAAATGTTTTTCGCATGGCAACTTAATTGGAAATGAAAAATCATCTCGAGTTTTGCTTCTTTTGTTGTCGTGGTTTCTTGTTTGTTGCTAGTCTAAATTAGAATAGTCTAGATTATGGAAAATCTATGTTCTATTTTTAGATACTCAACAACACAATCTCAAAAGAGGCAAAGGGGCCGTTCACTTATTACGTTCGCATTTTAGGGGGGAGGGGGGGTTTGGAAAATTGTAACATATTGTAACAAGGGGGGAGGGGGGTGTAAAAAGTCGTTTTTTTGCGTAACGTAATAAGTGAACGGCCCCAAAGCCAGAAAAACCAGAGCTCAAAGTCAACTCAAGATTTTCATCGATTTTGTATGATGGAGTTGAGTCCGAGTCGACTCGAGTCCATACAAAATCATCGACTTTGAGATCTGAGAAAAATTCTTGCAAATTCTCAAATTTGCCAAATGGAAGGGGAGTTGATCTCTTCGGCTACATCCCTGAATCATTAAAAATGAAAAAAAAAAATCCAAAACCACCATTTAAAAAATTATTCAATTAATGACGATAGCAAAAAATCTAGTCTCAAAATATTTTCATGAACTTTTATCCTATCTTCTTCTTACTTAATGTGCGAGTAACGATAACAATAATTGTCTTTATAGAAATTAAAGTCACAATAATGAAAATCCCTTTCCTACAACTTTGAAAGTAAACAAAAACACAACAAAGCTACAAATTCTAATAAAATTTGTTGAACGAGAGGCAAAAGACAATAGAGCTTTTCAAAAAAACTTCAACACCATCGAGATAATTAGAATAGAAAACAGCGTGAAATAAAATATTTATCGTAATCGTCACCCACACCCCTCAGACTCAATTTTCAACTAAAAACTGTAAAATGATTTTGTCATTTCCATTAATTCCATTGAAAACTGAGAAAATTGTTTTGTTTATCGTAAATTTGATGAGCGTAAAAAAAAGTTTTTATGTTTTCGGTGTAAAATTTTAGTTGTGTCGTAAATTTACAGTCGATTGTTATTTTATGAAAAAAACCACATTTTAATTTCATTTTGTTCCACAGTCATCCACTCAATTCAAATCATGGGGTTTTATGCAAATGACATGAAAGCTATTTGTCGATGATAAAAAATATGTAAATTTATTTTTAGTGCTAAATTCATCACGAAGCCAGCATTTTATAATCATTTTCCTTTTTACTATTTTCTATTTACAGGTGATCGATCCTATCAACAAGCTCATAGATACTGTGGAGTTTGATTCAGTGTTTTATTCGCTTGATTGGCATCCTGCCGACCACGTCTCTTTTATTGACAATATTAAACAGCGTCCGATACATCCGACTAGCCCGGTAAATACACATACTTACTACTTATAAACATGCATAAGTATCTACCATTATTTTCATTATTGTTGCGTCAATCATGCATATTTATCATGTTTTCAAAATTGAATGATTTAGAAAATGCTGCTGAATATGCATTTTAAGTATTAAATGCGAGTTGCAAGTTGTAATGACATGATTCTGGTTATAAAATGCATATTTGCAAAAATTACATCATCAATGTTGGATTACATGATATTTTTTCAATGGATTTTCCACATCAAGTTTTTAATTACTGATTTCTATTCTGTTTTAATAGCTATGTTTAAGAACTAAGAATTTATTGAGAGTTCAGGTCGGAGCAAAGAAGATTTTGTAGATTTGCAGCCGAAAATTTCAAATCGGACAAAATGATCACACTTTTTCAATATTTTTAAGCAATTTCTAATATAAATCGAAGAGCATAGGGAAAATCTCATATATCAAAATCATAAATATGATAATTATTATATGGTAATGATGGGTAACATGAAATGTATAATAACAATATATTCCATCGAGTGCCATTATTACGACAATCATTATTGCAGATTCGTTGTGACTGTATCGATTTATATGCAACTATTCATGCTGCCAAAAATGAATTGTGACAACACAAAAGGAATTAATGACGTTTTGTGTTTGAAATTTGGGAATTTAAGAGTCGTTTATTGATGCGTAAGTAATGCACTTAGATGGCTTTTTAGACCACATTAAAGGCAACATGTCTCAAAGCTCAGAAATTAAATTTCATACGTTTCAAACTTCCTTTGTAATTTTCAATCAATTCTGTATCCCTTTGTTGGTCAGTCAGTGGAAAATAGCCAATAAGCGACTATATGTTTAGAATGCTGATGTAGGAACAGCATGCAGGAAAGATTTGAGGTTGATTCTGTCAGAATTTCGATGTACTTACAGATCAAAAAGAAGGACGATAAATATGACATTTGTAGATTTCCTACAAAACAATCGCATGGGATGTGAAAATAATCGAACATATGTGATGATTTGATATTTTCCTCAAATGCCCATTTGTGAGTCTTCACATTTGCTTGTCAGTTTAATTTTCAGACAATTATGTATATGGCTATTTGCCAATGCAAATGTGAAATCTCTTTCTGTTTCTCATTCACCCCAAAATTGAACACCCCCTTCTCATTTAATGTTTGTGCTGAATGTCATTTTATTATGGCAAATGGTACCCGGAAACCCATTGCCATTTACACTCTAACACACACAACACACACATATTTTTCGTTTCTTTTCTCTTCCTGTTCTGTCCTTGCCTGCCTCTTCGAGAAAAAAAAGCAATTTGATTTTATCACCAAAGTTCATTTAGAATCCATGAAAAGTGCATGAATAAATAACTGAAAATTGTTCAAACATTGATAATTAAGTTCTTCTCTTTCTACAGTTCTACTTTCAATTTTCTATCTATTTATATTTATAGCTATTCTGTGTTCTCTTTCCTTCGTTATCTATCCATACATCTGGCCATAAAACTGAACAGTATCTCTCTCTTTGGATATTGTTTTTCTTTACTTTCTATGCGATATTGTTAATGTCCCTAAAGACTATCTCTCGTTTTATGTGCGAATAGAATAGAAAATAGCAGAATTTTTTTTTGACTGGAAGTGGTGACTATCTGGTATTTAATGAAAGGATTGTAAATGAGAAACTCGAATGCCACATTTCATAGTTAGTGGCATTTCTCATCGATTGTTCTTGAAATGTAATTGTTGGTGCATTTGAGGAATTTTGTTCCCAAAGTAAATTTAGATATGAATATCCATGGTCATGATATAAGAAAGTAAGGCAAAAATTGAACAACTTTATAATCAAGCTCAACCACTGACCACACAAGCTTTATGTCTATAAAAAAATTATTTTCATCCGCAAACTTCCTTTAGGGTTCAATTTCTTTTCACAATAAGCAATAAACGTCCATTCTATGGCTGAATAATTCATCTCATCTTCTTTTTCAAATCTCACATCCTGCTCGACATCCATCAAATTGCGTACATATAAAATTACACAAAAAAGCTATTGAAAGCATAAAATTACACAACAAGCAATTCAGTAAATGAGACATGGCAATATAAAATATAAAGGCATGACCAAAAATTTATAGTCGAAATTTTTTTTTGTTCCCCATTTATGCTTCCTCGCCTCAAAAGGGAATGCTGAAAAATTTTTTTTTTCATCTCCTTTTTAAGTATTGAAGAGGAAATTGTCTGTTTCTCTCTTTTTTTGATTCATGTGGTCATGCACTGCTGATATGTAATAATGATGATGATGAGAAGTACAAAAAATGGTCGTAGGGAATTGTGTTGGATGAAGTGATTTGAGCGCATGATGGAGATTACGATGTGCTTTGTCAAAATCTTATTTAAGTCAAGGAAGATGGATAGTGCCTGACTGAAAAGTTGATGGATATTGAATTATTCTGTACATTTTAAATCTTAAAGCTATATCTGCACTTAATATCAAATCTCAAACTTTTCTCCTCAGTCTTAGGCACTCAATCGTACAGTCAACAAAAATAAGTCACTTCTAGTAAGCTCCTTTAAAGTCCTCCTACAGAATTTTCAACTAAACAATAAGCACAACCGCTCATTTCATCCGAAAAAATAGAGAGGATGAAGATTTCTTTGTTGATGACTTAAAGGGACGATGATGCTAAATCAGATTAAGCAAAAAGGAACATTTATGTGCTATTTTTTGCTTACTTTTATCTCTCTTTTCTCATCAGGAGCCTTTTTTCAACTTCTTCTTATTTATTGTTTAATCCAAAAAAAGTTATTTATCTTTATTGTAGATAATGAAGATGGAACTTCATAAATAACATTTCAAAAATCTTAATAAATTATTGATGATGAAGTTATTATATCTCATTAAATTTTACATCTCTTTACTTCCTGTGGCATTTTGTAGTCGTAACTTTGTGGTCTTGACATTTTGTTAAATTATGCATGCATGAATATGAAAATTAATCCTGAAGCAAAACAATTCATTTATGCTGTACAAACTTATTTATTGCTCCCTTGAACATTTTCATTTTCTTGCTCTTTTCTGTGCTGATGGTCATAAGCTGTCAAAGGTCATGTTTATATTATTAATAAGCTATTACGTGTTTATTTTATGACATGATTTAAACTAACATCCTAGAGTCAATACGGTGCTTAATTTTTTATTACTTGAATTTTTTTGCTATCCTTAAATCTCAAATAAAGATTAAAAATACCTTCAGCATTTAATGTAGCATAATTATTTATTAAAGGACATTAATTGTTACCACGCTAATTTTTTTTGCCGTGTCATTTAAGTACCGAGATGAAAATTAAAATTAAATTACATTCCATAATTTCACATAACACACAATTTTTAAATTGCATATCATTATGCTGAGATATCCACATCCACATATGAATAAGGATATAAATTTAAATTTAAAGTGTGGAAATTATTCATAATTTATGGCAATTGTTTGTTTCCAAATGGGTTGGGGGGGGGGGGGGCTGCACTTCAGAAGAATGTTTAATAAATTCAGGATGGGAACTGTTCAGAGCGCATTTATTACTCATTAAAGCTTTTAGTTAAATTCGTTTTAATTTTTGAACTCTGATATCAAAAGAGACTAGAGCTGAAAATCTAACATAATATAGAAATTTATTGACTTACTGTCTGATTTAATTCATAATTTAAAATGAAAATTTTTCATTAATTAATTACTCAATTAAGAAATCAATTTTATCTTTAATGGCTCTCTCGACTGAACAGTGCAGTCAATATTAACCAACTCCAATAAATTAATTCGCAAAATATGCGAAATAAATTTTTCCCAAAAAAATAAAAACGTTTACCGGCAAAAAAGTCCATTTATTAAATGATGAAAATACAGCACAATATCACTTTTTGTTTCCTCATTTGATGACGCATTTCAATTATGTTTATTGTCATTTCCAAATAATTTCATTCGAGTAATAAAATTTGTGAATTGTCTTTATTTTCTCTTCCTTAATCCTCATTGTATAAATAGCTGAATGCTGACAATGCAGCCGTTTATGATACGGTGATTTTTGCAGGCCCACCTCCAATGAAACAGCGATTATGGCCTCGTCATTGTGTACAAGATACTTGGGGAAGTGAATTGCATAAGGACCTGAAGGTAAGTGGAATTACAGTAATCATATGTAATTGAAATTGACATTAAATGAAGATTGGGGATTTTTTTCTTGTTTTTATGAGAATCTAGAGGGATAATGTCTCTACCTTAAAGCTTAAACATTCCAAGAAGATACTCGTATCTTTAAAAATGTAAAAAAAGAACTTCTAAAAGAAGCTTAGAGTCCTCTTTTGAAAACGACTATGACTTTTCTCTTTTTTCTTCCATGCTTCTCTTCATTTTAGATTGTCGAAAGTGCCATTAAAGTTTACAAAGGCACTAATCCTGAAGTCGATTCATATTCAGTCTTTTGGGATAATAAAAAAATGTCAGATACCACACTTTGTGCACAGCTTAAACTAAAAGGCGTAACGGATGTCTATACGTGTGGAATTGCGTATGATGTTTGCGTTGGTGAGTAAAAAAGAAAACAAAGGAAGTGAACAAAAAATTCAATTTAAAATCGTCCATCAATTCCTCATATAGGAGCGACAGCAACAGATGCTTTATCAGCAGGATATCGCACAATACTTATTGATGACTGTTGTCGTGGTGTTGATCTACAGGATATTGAAGCCACAAAGGAAAGCGTTTTAAATAGCCATGGAGTCATTGTTCATTCAAAGGAGGTAAGACATCCTACAATAAAAAAATTCCTTTGTCATTACTGATTGCTTCCTTTTGACACTGTCCACCCCACACACCTCATATCAGGAACTTTTTTTTTAAAACCTCGTCAACCACAAAAAATGGTCTGACAACACTCTGCTTGTAGCATTAAATGTTCATTCACATTTGTTGCTCCCTTCCGAACAACTGTTGTTTGTTGTTGTACATTTTTACTGTCCATTTTTCTAGTGTGGTTAAGTGGAACGGGAGGACAATGCCATGGGTGACAGGCTTGACAATTTGTCTTAAGAGGAATTAATTGAAATATTAGAAAATTCTCAAAAGTGAGTTGCATATTACATTTCATCTCGTTTGGATATGACTTTTGTGGAAAGATGAGCTGAGCTGTTTTAAGCAGACTTCTAGTTTCGAAGAATTGGACCCAAATGACATTGAGTGAAATTTAATAACGCTTCATTTTAAAAAATCAGTATAAGCTTAATATTTCAGAGCATCAAACCTTCCAAAAATGCGTTTTAATAACCAGTGAAGCTTCTAACTTCCTCCTGCTTTTCATTAATTATCCGCATTTCCTAAAATAAATGGAAACATGATTCAAATTTAATTGTTAAATAATCTTTTTCTTTTTACTCTAAATCGTGTCGTTTCAGGTGAAGGCAATGGTTGAAGGACGTGATCGCAGACCGGAGCTTGGTTTTAAACTTGCAATGGAGCTAAAAAATGGAGAAAATGAAAACAAACGTGGTCGAAGGCAGATTTAAAAAAAAAATATGCAAAGAGGAAAAAAAATTCTCTCACAATTCTTTTTGCTTTTGTCGCTGCTGATAACATTCCATTACTCTTAGTTGTACAGTCCTCGTTGTTGCTGTTTGGACTTTGTTTCTGTATTATTGTAATTTTAAAATGGAGAAACATTGCTATACATTAATGACACAAATTTAAAAACATTTGCAGTACTTTTTTTTTCTCGAGTACACTAAAAAGTCTCTCTTTCTCTATCTCCATCTTTGTTCTTTGCTTCTGCTTATGTTGCAGCTATTGAAGTCATTCGAAATATATGATGGTGACTTTACTGCCTGTTTGTCTGATTAGGTGCTAATGAAATTTTTAACGGACGTTAAAAATTCAAAATTTTCAACACATTCTTCTTCCTTTTATTGATAAGCGCCTTTAACTTCGTAATAGCTCCTTCAGATTCATAACTTATTCATCCGCACGATAATAAAATTTATGTGCATTTTTTGATTTCGCTGAGTTTTAAGTTAAAAACTTTTTTTTCATGTAGATTTTCACGCGCTCAATGAGATCCATTTTTAGCTCAAATATAATGAGAGGAAGTGGAAGTTTGCATTACAAGTAGAGCATGCGAACGGTAGAGAAAGAGAAGGACAGAGAGAAATGGAGATAGAAAAAGCTTAAAAAATGTTTTATGCAAATTTAATTTTTGCATCTGGGTTCGGAAATGAATGGGGAAAAAAATTCTGTGCTTTATTCAATTTCAATTCGTCTTGAAAATTGTTAAAAAGGATGGAAAATTTAATTTTTTTTATGATAATTCATTAAAATCGTCAGATTTGCAAGATGAAATTTCCCTTAACTTTTATGCTCTAATGACATAATTCTATTCCTTTTTGAACCCGTCCTTTCTTTATTTTTTCGTCAGCAAACTTTCCTTACTGAATGAATTTTGCACGATATTAATTTAAGTGCTTTCGTTGATGAAGATTTACATTAATAATAACAATTATAATGATGATAATGTAATATAAAGAGAATAGACGAGAATGTAATAAGCGATGAAGATGATGCACTTTTTAATGTCGAGACAATCTACTCGACGTTTATCACTTCTTTTTTTCATTTTCTTTTAATTTTTTTAATGTTTTAAAAGCGCAGTTTGGTGATGCAAGAGCGATTCATTGTCTGGCGTCAAATTTCCATAGTCTGCCATTGATTACTTTATGAGGCAGCATTGATTTTTAACCAATTTTAATAACCTCATAGGATCTTTAAGATTTGTAAGACATGGGATAACTGGAACATTGTTGCGAATCAGAATTATTGTCCAAAACTGCGCTGTACTAGTAAATACTAAAATTCCAATGGTGTTGGATTCTGTTTTATTTTGTCTTTTCATCATATAACAACTTTAGCTTCATAAACTTGATTAATATTATTATGATTAAAGAATACTTAACATTTACTTACTTACAAACTTAATAATTCTCAATGTAAAATAAAATTATATTGAAGAACTATGATGACATAAAGGAAAGCTTTAATAAAAACATCATAAAAAGTAGAAAAAGAAAAAAGCTTTATGAAAAAGGACAAGTTGACATGTAAAGGAGAAGAAAGACTCTTTTTAATAGGGGAATTGCTTTAGGGTTGCAAGTCCTTTATAAACAGAGTATGCTGCTTGATATACAATTCATTTTCCTCTTTCAGATTTGATTATATTTTTAGATATCACTCCCTCTCTTTAATGTCAATATAATTACCTTGAAGGGATATTTCAAAGAGTGTGGACGGATTCTAAATAAATTTGAGTGAGCAAATTTTAAAGGTACGATGTCCGAAGTAACACACAAATTTTTAGATGGAAGTGACTGAGGTGAATGTATGAAACATTATGAAGAGTGTCCTTACATCCTACAGTAGCTCAATTTAACTTATATGTACTGCATTCATGAAGCCATTTTCTACCGACAGACGAATCAAGTCAATATCACATGATACGAAACAAAATTTTGTCTAGATCTAATCCTTTCATCTAAACTCTATCCATCTTTTAAAATTAAATTGCAGCACATGAAATTGCTAAAGGAAATTTTCTCTCAGTTCAATCAACCATCAATAAACTCTCATCAAATATTTATACAATAGCAATAACTGTAAGCAGCATACAAACTTTTTAATAAATTTCCTCTTTCATTGACGATGCCATTACGTTGGCTTACCATGAGCTTTTATTAATATTTGACTTGCATGGTGAAACTTTCGATCGTAATTGTTTGAACAGAAGCTTTTTGTACACAGAATTCACAGAATCATAATGTTCATGATTATTTCTGCAGTCATTGAAAATGTTCTTTGAATTTGTCACGTTGTGCTGACAAATACCAACCCACTTAAAGTTCCTATTACAAAGCAAGCTAACGAAAACTTTTTTAAACATTCACAATTAATTTCACCGTACCTTGTGAACGTATAAGTCTTCCTGCATTTCTGTAGCTTCCTTCAGAATTCGAATGGAAAGCAGAAGCAGTAGTAACATCACAAAAAATTTGCATGCAATCGCTTACACTAGGGATTATCGACCTGAACGTGAATTTCTCGTTTAGCGGTTGCTTTTGTGAATTTTATCACGTAATTGTCATAGCAGGAACTGCATGCACGGTCATAAATAAAATTAATATACAAGTTGCTTGAATGTAAATGGGTCGTGGCTCTGTTGATGTTGTGTACTGGAGAAATATATAGGTAAGATAGAGAATATGTTGTGGCTGCATCCATAATTTTAAGGGAAAACTTTTGTGACGATATTGAAAATTACTTAATAGTTTGTCTTGCTAGAATAAGATTTGTATGGTATGTGCTGGAAATTTCGTGAATTGAAAATGATTGTTTTAAAAGTTTGTTTCATCCCGAGCAATACATTATTCACTAGTGATGTCTATATGCTATAGTATGCTTCTCGGGCAATAAAAGAACAAGCAAAATGCGCTTTATTTATGTTCGCTTTCCTCTTATCTTTCCTTTATACATTTATTTATTTAGATCCATGCAAATTCCATAAGAATAGCACAAAATGTTAAATAATTTAGGATAACAAACAGCCAGGAACATCGAGAAATAAATATAGTAGTTGCAAAAAAAAATATCACAAAATAGAAAAAAAGGCAGAAGAAGCAAGCGAAGAATTGGCGAGACACGAACAACAATAGAGTCACAGGAAATAAATTACATGAAGGCAAGCAATGAGTAACAAAAGTCAAGCTAGAAGACGATGAAGAAGAGGCAGCTGCAGCACCAACGCTATTGGAATTTTTATTCCATTGTTCTTGTGCTATTGTTGAACTTTTTTGGAGGTTCTAAGACAAATAAATCGATGAAAAGAAGCCAGAGTTGAATACAGCAATCAGAAGGAGTATAAAATTTGCAGAAATCAGAAAAATGTTTGGAGTTCTTTCTGTTCTTTCAATTATGTATGTGCATGCATTAATCCATAAAGCCATATATCTTGATATAAATTTGTATCCATGCAAACAAGCTTGCGGCATAAAAGAACCTCCAATTATAAAGTTCATATAAAGTTTCCGTAGCAACAACATCGTCATCGTATTCGTCGCCGCCAGGTTTATAGCTCAAATCATTTTATTTTTTTATGAATGCATATATATCTGTATGTAGCCTTTTGTTCTCTATGTCTTTATTTTCCCCTTTTCACTTTCAGCCATTGCCGTCTCAAAACACATCTTGTATTCTTCCTTTAACATTGGCAATAAGGCTTGGGGATTATTATTATACCATAACTTTATAGGTTTGAAACGGATGAGAAAGTGGGGTGCATAAATAAAATAACAGATTATTAGTATCATAAATGGTCGAAAGGCGAAAAAAAAGCAGCGAATGATGATCATAAGCATAAATCCCTAAAGTAGTTTCATGTTCTATTCATTGCCTGAGACTTGTAATCGCTTTATATTGGCACATGAAAGAAACGATGAATTTTCTACATATACATCGTTTTCAATAAAGTGGAAATAATGGTCGCTTTGTTATGCCTTGGTTCATTTAATAACAAACCATTCATCGGTTCTATTTTTCTTCTACTATATTTTCCTTTCTTCATCGTTCGATGAATGGCTTATTGGAATATTGCAATTGTTATTTGTCATATTATTTGTGCCTCGTTATGTTTTTCTTCTGCTCTATGTAGCTATATTTATAATAAGGATTCGTAAGGAACAATAAAAACAACACATTTGTTTTTTTATTGGTAAAGTGGACGATGAAAACAAGATGAAATGTTGTGGAAGTGATTGTTAACCGAGAAATATTGAGAATTTGTAAATCATCGGCAACTGTTTGAAAGGTGTGGCTGATTTCATTGAACTGTGTAGGAATAGGTAATTTTGAGTCTTCTTTGTAGACTTAGAATAGCTAATGGATTACTTTTCATGACAAAATTAAGAATTTTAGAAGAAATTAAAATGATCTTGAATTAAGAGGACTTAACTAGCCACTATCCTCCTTACACATTATTTTTCAGCTGTTCAACATCTCTAACTTAATTTATTGAACCTTTCTTCGTTTTAAGAATTTTAATTTAACATTCCCCAAATAGTCTTTCGTCTTCTTCGCCAATAATCCATCATTCATTTTATGCTCAAAGTGCTATAGGCATAATATGATTGTACAGCATGTCAGCAATACAAAAACATCTTGTTAACCTTCTCAAAGGCTTATTTACGTGAAAAATTTTTTTTTTGTCAGCTATGGAAACGCGATAAAACCATAAATATTGTTCTACACAACTCAATTTTTCATTTTATTTGAGCGTAGAAACATTTCTGAATGGAAATGAAAATGACAAGAAAAGTTTTATTCGGGAACAATAGGCTTTAGGAAAATTGTTGAGATGAAAAATCAAGTGAGAAGTTTAAATGTAAATTTAACCTTTGGGAAATGGAAAATAAAAGCAAAGAAAAATTCAAATACAGGCAGTAAAGTCAACAACTTATTTTCTGTGAACGACAAAGATTTTTGAGCGGCAATTCTTTAATTTCTAGAGAAATTTAAAACTCAAAACTTTACACTTCAATAATCCCAACTGGAAGTTGAAATTTCTCTCATTTAAGTTTATGTCAAGAATGATTTTACTGCTGGGAAATCAACCACGGAGTCACTTAAAATTTTTATTCTTACACTAAGGAATGACTTTATTATGCTAAGATGGATTTACTCATTGATTTCAAATTTTGTGTCCCTTGTCTTATGAGGCTTTAACAAACAGACAGGACTTTGAGTGGGAAATTAAAGCCGGAAAAAGTTATTTTAGGATGAATCAGCAAAAAGTTATTATAGTTTTGTTCCTTTTTTCTCTATGGACAGTTTCCTTCACTTTCTTCTTACTGTTATGTGCTCATAAAGTTTTATATTCTAAGGTGGTTTTAAAAAAGACTATTTAGATAATGATTATGTTGACTGCTATAAAAGCCGCAACGATTGTGTTGAATGAAAATTCTAGGAAACATATATGTTGGTCTAGTTGTAGATTAGTTGAAAAGTCTAAAAAAGATTCATAAGCATTCGACTTTCTTCATTCATTTTAAACTTGTAGTTCAATTTCATTTGAGCCATTCAAGCGTTCGAAATGATTTAGACAGAGCTCAAGATTTCCATCGATTTTGTATGCAATACAAAATTTCATCGACTCCAAGCTCTGGTTTTTGATTCACAAACCTTAGAAAAGTTCTTATGATTGAATGACAAAAACAAAAGCAATTCTTATTTATAATTTATTTAAAGTTTCGTTACTATTCTTAAACATTTGTAATCCAGTAACAGCGAGGAATGATTTTTTTGGGATAATCTAAGCGTTAACAAATTTTTTTTTAAAATTCTAGATGTAGTTCTGCTTTATAAATGACTAAAATGCTAAATACTTTACAATATGTCAAAGTACTGTATAAATATTGCAGCAAGTTTGGAAACTATATCGATATTATGCTTTTATTCTAAAATTTTCTGTCCATCTCATGAGAATCTAATTTCGATATGCAGTTTTGAAACTTTGCTCCTGGACACAAGATTTAATTTTTTTTTGATAAGTCATAAGGGGCTGTTCACTTATTACGTAACGCGAAAAAATGACTTTTTAGACCCCCCCCCCCCCCCCTCGTAACAAAATTTGTATGAAAAAAAAATTTCCTTGTTTGAACCGTAACAAAATCTTAGACCCCCCTCCCCCCTAAAAGCGTTACGTAATAAGTGAATGGCCCCTAAGTGAACGACGCTTTAAGGATGACATGAGCTACATTTTCAAAAAAGCATTAACGGAAGTTACGAAGAATAAAAAACAAGGTTTAAAAATGAAGAATTGTTCATATCCATTATCATAAATAAATTCATAATTTCATTCTATATTCCATCATCCACATGCTGCATGTCTCTCATCCCATATCATAATGTCACTTACTATGGACACACACAAGACAAAAAAAAAACAGAAAAATAAATTTTCATTCATTTTTATCTACTGTATTATTGTTTGGCGGTACTGTATTCCATTTTTCGATGTCATTGTCGTTCATTCACATGAGAATGAAACAATAAAGAACATATAAAGTTGATACATGATCATCGTTGTCATCCATTGGAAAGATGGTAGTTTGAGTCACATACGATGTTTATTATTTTCCTCGCAAGACAAGAAAGACAGAAAATTCTTCTATCCATCCATTAAGTCTTCTTTCATCGCCTTATTCATTGTATCTATAATAATATCCAGTTATATTTATGTCAACAACATTCAATATCAATTTTAAGTATTCTCTTCCTTTCTTTATCTTCAGTTCCTTTTCTTTGCTCCAAATGTTTTCTTTTATTTCTCTTCTGAGTATATTTCCTTTAATGTTTATAGAACAAAACAGAAACAGAAACAGAAGCTGTATATTCTGAAATGAAGGAAAATGTATTTTTTATTCTTGGTTTATTTTTGTTTCCAATATCAATTTGCTCATAAACATTGAAGACAAAGAACTGGTTGATTGAGGTATTGGAGTTGATTGGAGGAATTGTAATAATAAGGATATAAAGGAATACATTTTTGGTTACTTAATGGAGTGGTATAAGCAAGTAATGATTGTTATACGATAAAGCAACATGATTATACCTTGTTTGAGCGATCTGAGTGGGCATGATGTACGGCCGAGACCCAAATCGACACAGTTCAAAAGTTATACCTAATTTATATCATAATTATGTCAGCTACAAAAACACTTAGTTTGAATTTTGTCACCCTCGGGAACACTATGAACCAGTAAAGCTGATTTTGGTCCAAATCTCGGTCATACTTCACACTTATTTGAACCACATTTTCTCGTAAATGTTAAAATATTATTAAAAAGTAATTAATCCTGAATTATGTCGCTATTTTGTCAAGTGTTTTAAGATAAAGAATTTGTTTTTTGGTTTCCACAGTGAAGAGTATAAACAAAATTCAGATGGGGTAGTCGAAATTTTAGATTTCGATTTTTTTAAGCGATGCATTACAAAAAGTAATATTGGTATGTGATTTATGTCAGAATTATGTCAATTCAAATTGTTTTAAGCACTCGAATATTTATGCAAAGTTTCAATCCATTTGGATAAACCCTCGAAGAAAAAAGTGACAAAATTGATTTTGACTAGGGTCGCCCCTAGTCCAAAATTGAAAATGTATTTACGTCTTGGTTCTTTGCTCAAAAAAATTTTAAGATGTTTTATTTGTATTTTATTTAAGCACCAGAATATTTATGCAAAGTTTCAATCCATTTAGATGAACCCTCGAAGAAAAAAGTGACAAAATTGATTTTGACTAGGGTCGCCCCTAGTCCAAAATTGAAAATGTATTTCCTACTTGGTTCTTTGCTCAAAAAAATTTTAAGATGTTTTATTTGTATTTGTTTTAAGCACTAGAATATTTATGCAAAGTTTCATTCCATTTGGATAAACCCTCGAAGAAAAAAGTGACAAAATTGATTTTGACTAGGGTCGCCCCTAGTCCAAAATTGAAAATGTATTTACGTCTTGATTCTTTGCTCAAAAAAATTTTTGGATGTTTTATTTGTATTTGTTTTAAGCACTAGAATATTTATGCAAAGTTTCAATCCATTTAGATAAACCCTCGAAGAAAAAAGTGACAAAATTGATTTTGACTAGGGTCGCCCCTAGTCCAAAATTGAAAATTGATTTTCTATGGTGTACTTTTGTCAAAAAAATTTTTTGGATGTTTTATTTGAATTGACATAATTCTGATATAAATCACATACCAATATTTCTTTTTGTAATGCATAGTTTAAAAAAAAACGAAATCTAAAATTTCGACTACCCCATCTGAATTTTGTTCATACTCGTCACTGTGGAAACCAAAAAACAAATTCTTTATCTTAAAACACTTGACAAAATAGCGACATAATTCAGGATTAATTACTTTTTAATAATATTTTAACATTTACGAGAAAATGTGGTTCAAATAAGTGTGAAGTATGACCGAGATTTGGACCAAATTCAAACTAAGTGTTTTTGTAGCTGACACAATTATGACATAAATTAGGTATAACTTTTGAACTGTGTCGATATGGGTCTCGGCCTTACTTCACGCCCACCGATCTGACATACCTCAAATAATTTCCAAAAAGAAAATGTGTCAAAAGACCCTTCAATATTTGTAGAGCTTTTAACAATATCACACAGCTTGCTTTCTGCATCAGAACAGCTTTCCATTTGTTTAATGCAAACAGTGACAATTCTTTACATTTTAAGGAAGAAAAGGTAAGTCTGAAAGAGTTCTGTCTGTGACTTTTATAAATTTCCACTTTTTCTGCCACTTTCACTTACATTTATCTATATGCACAATTTTGTGGCGATTACTTTATACTAAACTCGGAGGAAAACTTTATTTTAATAACTGTGGTAAAGACATTTCTTGTCATGAAGCTATTTGGAACTTAGATGTAATTCAACATCTATAAATATACTTATGTCTAAATTGTATGTTCCTGATTCATAAAATCAATTCCCATAGCATTCATGGAACACTCTTTGTCATTTTCATTACATCAGCTGACAATTCTCTGCAAGCTCACCACAAAAGTGACAAGATGACGCTCGTATGTATGTTTATCATAACTTTTGCAGCCACTTACAATGCATGAGTAATGCTACGATTTAATCAAATGTTTCTCATAAACACATCGGAATTACATGACATGACACATTCCCTTGCTTTGGAAAATATGATAAAATGCCTTTGGAGTGAGAAATTAAACAATGCAATTTTGTACACATGATGTCAAGTGAATCTTCTTCTTCTTCTCGTACTTCCTTGTGTATTACACTGAGTAAATATTTGAGTATGTATCCTGTACATTCAAGTTTGGTTAATGTATGTCACTGAACGCGATTTGTAAGAATTTTGTAGGGAGACTCCGATTTTGCAATCTTGATCTGCTAGTTTTTTAGAACTAAAGTTCGTATTTTAATTATCAATTAATTAAACTAAAATCTATAAAATATAAATATCATCATGAGTTTGTATCTAGATGCTAATAGCAAGTTGAAACTTGTGTCTGTTTATTCATCATTGAACATGAATGGAATCAAATGATAAATGGTGCTGCTATTGTTTCTAAAATATCACATTAGTGTTAGCTAGTGAATAGAATTGTTTGAATAATTAAGAAGACTGAGTTTAGCATTGTATGTAGGATGATAATTGGGGGTGAGCGACGAATGATCTTTGAATAATGACATTTAGGTTAATGAATGCAAGTCATTGCGCCTTGAGTTTTATTTTAATTGGATATTTTCATAGATTTCATTCGTTTATGATGTGCCAAGTAATTAAGAATGCGTAGGACTTTCACATTTTAACTTTGTCATTGCCATTTCCAAGACCTAACAATCACCCTAGATTTTAAGAGATTTAATAAGGGGTCGTTCACTTATGACGTCCGACATTTAGGGGGGGGGGGGGGGGAGGTGGGTCTAGGATTTTGTGACAGTCCAAACAATGGAAATTTTTTTCTATAGAATTTTTGTGACAGAGGGGGGGGGGGTCTAAAAATCAGGTTTTTTGATGGACGTCATAAGTGAACGACCCCTAAGATTAAAGCCAACTTAATTTTAAAGATGAAATGTTATCAATTTTTATTTATCTTTTAGAATTGAATATTTAATAAAAATAAATATTAAGCTTAGAGAAATGTCCAGTTTTTTGATAAGTGATTGACGAAGAACGGTGACACAAAGCTGTCATGATTTTTAAGTGATAACGCTAAATGACCTTTTTAAATTTAATTCACTTAAAAATCGTATAAGTCCTTAAGATTATTTTTTAACCAGCTATTGGTGCATTCAAGGCAGTGATAGCAGCAATCAAACTAGTTTGTGCTGCAAGTACAGGAGCAGGGAGAGCAGCAGCAGTCATGGCAGCCAAAATTGCATTTTCTTGTTGAACTAATGTTGATATTAAGGTATTGATTCTTGTTTGTGTTGCTGCTGTAGCAGTTGCGGCTGCATTTGCTGCAGTGATTGCAGCTGCAATTTGTGTATTAAGATTTGAAATTTGACCATTTGAAGCTGATAGTGCATTAGCGTTTGCTGTGACTTGTGTCTGAAGAGCAGCTAGTTGAGAATTGATGTTGGCAAGAACAACTGAATGATCTGAAATTTTATATATAAATCAGTATTAATTCCGTTTTCAAACTCTATAAAAAATAGTTTACCATCTTTAGCAAATAATGTTCCTCTGCCTTCTTCTTTAGCTGATACAAAGCAAGCGACTAAGACAATACAGAATAATTGAATATATTTCATGATGACTTTAAGTATTTTTTTAAAAGTTTCTTGTTGAATGTAAGTGAACGACTAACTATGCTGCATTCTGCATGATGCTCTTTTATACCAAAATGCAAAATTAAATAAACGGGAAAGTGTCAATTTAAGCATAAAAAATTGCACTACCAAAATCTTATCCCGTTATTCTGGGTTAAATATTTAAAATTAACAAAATATAAAAATATCCTCGTGTGTAGTAACAAGAGATGAAAGAAAACAAGATTAAGGAATGTGGCATGTCATTTCAGCCGAAATTAAAAATGAGTATAATTTGAAAAAAATAAGAGAAAAGAATAAGGAGGATAGTATGGAGTATGGAAATAAAAACTTGTTTTTGTCATTTTGGATCAAATATTGGGTGACATTAATACATGTCAGAATTATTGAATTTGTGTGGATGATAATTTATTACCTTCAAATTTTATTTATTAATGCACATTACTGTTTAAAATATCCAACTCATTTATTAAGCTTAAACCTGTTCGATTCCAAAATTTGAGCAAACTTTAGCTTCTAAAAATAGGCAACAGGTCAGGAACATAAATTGTAACGAGAGCTAGAAGATCACCTTGCATGTACAGATCCTGACCTCTCCCACTATTTTAGGAAGTCACGAGTGAACAACCTTTTACTCATTTCATACCTGCTTTAGATTATTCTTATTGCATTAATGTCTTCTTTAATCTTTGAAATATTGTTGCATATTTATTTAAATCTTGTATTCTTGCAATTCGTTGCTGTACGCGTGGATATTTTATTTTTAAATTTAAGATATTCAACCCAGAATAACGGAATTTATTTTGAGAGTGTAATTATTTATGCTTAAATGGACACTTTCCCGTTTCTTATGCTTTTCTTATTTGGTATATAAAAGTGCATCAAACAGATTTTCGGATTCAGTCGTTCAAGACAATTTAGCAAGTGATCTTATTTCTCCTAAACAGATTTTTTTTTCAAAAATGAGGTATATTCAGTGCATTTTCATTACTGTCGCATTTTCATGTGTGTCGGCAAGTGTCTTTGACAGGAAGGGTAACGAACGTTAATAAAATAGCTAAATGAACAGCTTTTAAAGCTTTTTAATTTTTTTTACAGATTTGCCCTTAATTGTTGGCAACGTACAGAACAAGATGAGTGTTTTAACAAATGCTAATGGCTTAGCTACTGCTCAAATAGCCACAAATGCAGGAATTCTAGCAAATATTCAAACACAACTCAACCAAGTTATAACAACCAACACAGCAACAAAAGCAACAAACGACGCAAACAATACGAAACTTACTTCATTGGTAATTTCCTTATCATCATTCCATGCTGCAATGGGAGCTACTTTAAATGCAAATGGTTTAGCTGGTGTCGGTGCGGCCTATCAAACACTTGCAGCTGCTATTCAAGCTATTTAAAAAATCAACTTAATTTTGTGTGGATTCTTGTCCGAAAGTCTGTGTATTTATTGAAATATTAAATTAAAATTGAGGAACTTTAATAAAAAGATATTAAAAATGAATTTTGTTGTTTTAAGTTATTTACATTCAACATTTGACATGCTTGTTCAGGTCATTCTTGAAGAAAGGAACGAATTGAACCTGATTGGACATGAAACTTTATGAAGAATATCCATCATTTGATTTTTTAAGTTCTTAACAAAAACACATTCAATGAAATCTTCAGAATCATCTGTTTTTGGTTAAAAAATCTGAATTATTAATTGCAGACTAGTTTTCTTCCCTAAATTATTGGACATCACAAATTAATAAATCCATAGTGTTGGTTGTCTTTGCATTTGAAGATTTTTTTAATCCAGAATAACGGAAAACATTTTGGAAGTGCAGTTTTTTATGCTTAAACTGACACATCTACGCTTCTTAATATTTAATTTTTGTATAAAAGACTGCATCAAGGCATTTTCGAGCACAGTCGTTGAATTCAATTCGGCCAGTGATTTTATTTTATTTTCTGTTAAATTGATTCTTAAAATGAAGTGCATTCCGTTCATTTACATTGCTTTGATTGTCGGTTGTGTTTATTCGACAGACTCCAACAATTCATTTGAGGATGATGGTATGTATTGTACTTAAAGTTTATACTGACTAGACATGGTTTTTTTTGTGTATTATAAATTTCAGAATTTTCATTGATTATCGCTGAAATCCAGAACAAAATAAAGGTGATAACTGATGCCTCTAATTTCAACACTGAACAAATAAATGCAAACTCACAAGCATTGAAAAACATCCAAACTCAACTTGATGAAGTCATGGCTATAAATGCAGCAACAATGAATCAAATTGATGCGAATAATGCAATATTAAATGGACTTATACCTGCACAATCTGAACCTGTTACAACGAATGATGTACCTAGTGTTGATACCACATCCAGTCAGCCAAGTTTTGAGGAAATAAATTGATCCGAACCGAAATAAATTAAAGAAATTTTGTTTTCAAAATTAAGTATTGTCAATGAGTCAATTTAATTGAGGAAGGTTAAAATTAAAGTTTATTTAACATTATTTTGTCATTTGCAGCATTTTAGAGTTTTTCATGTCAACCTATGAAATGTAAAATTTTCACTAGTGGCAGTGCTTTCAGCTTTATACTCCTTAAAAAATAAACAATTACAACCGTGACCACGTGAAAATAGTTTAATTGAAAGTTTATTTCTGGAAAATGCTATGCACAAGAATTTGAATGACTGCACACTTTTATTAGACAAAGTTTTGTCTCCACAAATTCAACCGCAAGAGTAAATTAGGAAATTTTCAACCAGAAAATGAAAATGGCAATTCTATGGAAAGTACAACATTTGTACCATCAATCGTACGTTAAAGCCAGCTAATTCCTTAGCAACTCCTTTTTAGGATAAAACAATATTTGAATAAACCAAAGCTAATTCCATCATTTCATGAAGCTTTCAATATTTGAAGTATTCAAAGCAGTACTCAATACTTGAATGTCGAACAAAAACATAAATTTTGTGTACAAGAACAATTCCGCTGATACAGCATGGGAGATTCAATGGACATTTAATTACTTTCTTCACCTTTTCCTAAATTCGCAGTTGGATACGCATGAAGCGAATAATTAGTCTGTTCGATGTAACATGAATTGTAATGGATATAGTCGAAATAATTAATCATTGAAATACCAATTTAGTTTTCGCTGTTCTTCCTTTTAATACAAAGATACTCCATGCACAATTAAGAGCATAGAAATTCCTTTTGTGTCCTAATTAGCATCAGATGGTTATAAATTCAATGTCATTAATCAAATTCTTGTTTTTCTGCTCACTCCCAAAATGTGATTCAAATCTAAATCTAAATTTATTCCATCGTTGAAAAACAAAAACAAAACATAATAAGCAGTAGGAATAGAATGATTCATAAACCTTCCATTGATTGTATTGTTTACTAGTAAAAATTGTCCTTTTGAGATCGATAAGAATATTTTATGACAATACAAATGGTTATAAAAAAAATATTTTTGAGATAAAATGAGAGACAAACAGAACAATCGGATCTGTAATATATTTTTTATAAGGAATATCAACTACTTTATGCTATGATGTACGCTATTGATATTCTTAAGATATTCTAAAATTTTTGTTCAAGCAGTTAAGTGCCTTGCTGGTCGAATAGGTAAGGTGCTTGACTCAAATTTTGGATGGTAACTCGAAGGTCGTCGGTTCGAATCCAGCCATTTCCAAATTTGTTCTTTTTCGGAAGTTTAGATACTTCGACTGCTTAATGTACGAGATCAAGCCATAATTGGGCATTTGGGCAACGTTGGATTGAGGAACGGGTCAGGAACTTAGAGTGTAGCGGGAGAAATAGGAACGAGAGCTACAAGATTACCCACGAATAGAATATTGTTAGAAGGGACCTGAAAAATATCACGTCACGTCTACAGAAGATTGAAACGAGAGCCTTAGTTTATTTGAAACCTAGATTTGAAGATTAGAAGTTTGATCCTATATAATATTAATTCATATGTATTCAAATACAAAAGTGTAAAATGTGAATTATTACCGGATAGTATGTCGTCAATAAATGCAATAAAGTACAATTAATAATAACAAATAATTTTTTTTAAAACTTGAGAACTTATTTACGGCTTTAGAACTCAATTATTACATACCATATTAATTAAGTCAATGGAATGCTATTTTCATGGATTGTTGAAGTTGGTTTCATCTTCAGAATTCTATAAATAATGGAAATAACTAGAAAAATAACTCAATTAGTCGGAGAATTTTTAATAGAATTCCTTATGTCGAATAAGTCTCGGTTTATATCCTGCTGAGTATTTAATGATTTTTCTATAAATTTAAGTGATGTGTCCCATTCATAACATATCACTCAAAATTCATCAAAAAATGTCTCACAATTGCACAACAGCTTTTTAACTACCCGATATCTCCCGATCACATTCAGTCTATGGCAACATAATGCTCTGCATCAGTTTCATTTTTTTTTTCGGGAAGTGAAAAAGCTTTTCATGTGCCACCATTGTTTTTATCTTAATTCTAGCAACTCTCTTGTTGATGCTTATATTATTGTGTATAGACTCGCGAGTCTATGTATAAATAGAAAATTTTCAACTTATTGTTTCATCCGTTCCGCTTTTATGAAAACTGAATGGAGAAAAGTTATATTTTTCTCTATACACAGTCCCACTTGTTTATTGTTTTAACATTCAGTGCCATATATGGAAAATAATAATGATAACATGTCTATTGAATTGAGCTCACATAATCAACGGATACAATGAGGAATCTATGGTAGCATATGGAAAAAGAAAATTTAAAGTCTCTTCTGCTACACAGTGCAGAAAGTTTTTGCATGATGTTGCGCCATTTCGTCAGCAGCTATCACTTATCTTTCATCAGCAGTACATAAGCATCAGGCTTATTTATCCATGCTGTGCCATATTAAGGAATGAAAATTAAAATTTTAGTATCTATAAAAATTAATTTTTCGAGCAAAATTGAATATTTTTAAAAGATTGAATTTAAAGCTTATATTCAGCCATGTGCTGTTGCAAGCATATTAGTCTTGGAATTTCACATGGATGCAGAAAATTCTCTTAATTCTCATGATTATTTTCAACATCCACTCTTGTTTGTATATTTTTAAATCAACTCGCATTTTTGTAATGTTTCAAATACTCCGTAGAGAGCATGGTATGAAATGATAGAAGAATGAAGAGATACATGATGATGAATAATTGTTTCTGTGATCCATTTGACCTATTTTTAACGAGCATTTTAAAATTTGAGTCAAAAGGCGCTTTTGTGGCCACTTTGTCTGTTATTCCGTCTCATCTCAATACAACTTTTGCAGGAATGGTCCAATCGACTTGAAATTTGACACACACGTTGCTTCCAGAAAAAAGAATTTTGGAACTGGTCTCTTACTTTCCAAGTTATGGCTATTAAAAGCATATTTTTTGAACAAATTAGTCTATTTATTAAGGAGTGGGCTCTTCATTGTTAATTGCACTACTCATGTAGGGAAATGCGCTTTTTTGCCATGTGGACATTTTTACTAGTTTGTATTGCAGCACTTTAAGTTTTTGTTTTGCGAGAGATGATATGAGATTTGTATACGAGTGATGTTATGGGATGTCTGTAAAGTTGATTCTCATATTTTTGAAAGGGTTTGAATTTTAATGAAATGGCGTATGTTTAAAAATGACGTCAAACTTGAGTGTTATTTTTAAAATACATCCAAGGGTAGGAATGAAGCAGAATTTTTTCAGTTTATGCCAACTATAAAATCTTCAAAACTAACCATATCTCTTCGCCTAGATGCAATGATAAAGAGGCAGTAACAATAAGAAAGGATGAGATTTCTCTTTTGGACATTAAGAGATTTAGGTCGCTGATATATATTAAATGAATGCAATCCAAGATGATGAAAAAGAATCAGCAGGAAAAAAAAAATAAAAGCTTTAACGCTTTTTATTTTCATAATCACTATAAATGGAAATAGGAAAAATGAGACGAGGAAATATTGAGGCACGCGAGAATTTTTTATGATTATTATATTTTTTTTGCTTACTCAATTCTTCAATTGCCTGGGCAAAATGAACCCTTTTTTTCTTCCGTTTAGCCACGTCATTCATTTCCTCGTCTCTTTCTTTCCATCTTTTCTGTGTTCTTGCATTCATAAAAACACGAGGTGCGCCTACCTTATAATGAACATTTTTTATAACCCCTTAGTTCTACCTTCCAAAAAGAAATTAGGAAGAGGAAAAATTCAAACCGTTTAATCTACTTTAATCACTTAATTTTCTTTTTTTTTTCATCACATCCTTCTTCTTTCCAGTCTAACCCATTCATTCTGTTATAATTCACTGTTTAGTTAACCTCCCACACCTTTCTACACGCCTGGCAATCAAGAATTTATGTGCATTTTTCTTGGCATTAATTGGACGATTACGATGATGACGATGATAATCGTTTGTGAAATGTGAAGGTATAGAAGAAGAAGGTTCTTTTGATGTAATGAGGTTGATTATTTAGTAGCTCTGTAGATTTTATCACTTTAAATGAGGAAAAAGACTCATTTGACAATCCGTTCACCTGTGATAGATCGCAGCTCTGATTTTTTGGATTTGCAAGAACTGGTGGACTTACTGGTATGGTCTGGTACTTAAGTAAATGAACCCTTGAAATGTTGGGTTCAAGACTTGAAAGCTTTCTTTCCTGAAGTACAACTCACAACAGCTGATTGCAAATTACTTTAGCCTGCAACCCAAGTATAAAGCCAGCACAAATTCCCACCTGTGATAAGTGATATCATATTGAGAAGAGCACAGAAGACGGACAGACAACTGAGTCATCTCCAATTATATTAAACCACATTAAATCTACAGGAAATAATGCAAATCATACGAGTCTAGTCAACTAATCCCAACATAAAGTGCTCAGACAATCCACCTCACTCCGTTTTCACCTTTTTTTTCCATCTCACTTGTGATGTTTATTTAAATTACCTTTATGCCATCTGAAGCCTTTTTTCCCTTCTATGCTGTTGTTATTTGCAAACATTTGCATGCAAGCATGAGAAGCCTAATAGCTTCTGTCAGAAACGAGATGGAAAAAGTGCCAAAAATGTATTCACATGACAGCTTTTTTATGACTGAGCATACAATTGATGTACGAAACAACACCAATTGCTTCTTCCTAGCCATTCTCGTTCATTTCAAAACCAGCATCCTAAAGTGTTTGTTAAATATTTACCTAGTAAAAATATCATCATCATAAAGATGAAGGACTGAAATAATGAAAGAATGAGAGAAGCAAAATAAGATGGAGTAAAAATCCATTTCCACTTGATATTTTCTTATTAAGAAATGAAAACACTTTTTTTTCTCGTCATTTTCCTTTTTTTTCTCTTTATTTTGTTCTTTTTTTCCTTTTCTTTTTGCAAAATTAATGCTTCGGAATAAATCTCTCGCTTTCATAACCATCACGACCAATT